CTGCTGAGAGCAAAGGCTTGAGTGTCTTCATTGATTCAGAAACCATTCTACCTACGTCCAGAGCAACGGCAGGTTACAAGTGGAAAAATCATTTCTTTAAAATGAAGGGGGATGTAGGGATGGTGTAAATTATGAAAAAGGATACCAACAAGAAAGATGCTTCAGCTAAAAACAAAAATCATACATCCATCCCTTCTTCTTTCTTTCGTCTAAGAATGTGTAGGCACGCATTGTTGGCGTAGGTAAACTAATTCATAACAAATCACAGTTGAGGTTGTGAGTTAAAGAAAGATGTAGGGATGGATGTATGACGGACTGACAGACGGAATGACAAACCAAGTACTGTAACCCTCGCTGCGCATGCGTGCCAAGGGATAAAACTGCATCTGGACAACTGCAGGTGGTGACCACTAATAGTATGTGCAGTTTCTGACTTCGTCGAATGTTCTGTGTGCGTGGTCGATGGCTGTGGTGCTATGGCTGGTGTAGCGTAGTGTAGACACCTAACTTGTGTTTATTGCAGTATCTATCTGCAAATGTTGAGTAATGTCAATCTCTGTCTTATATCAGTTGCTGATTTCAGTGACAGTGCAACCACGATTACAGTTCCAGCCAACAGTAACCCATCATACGAAATATCACAGTTTTTCACAATCAATGACGACGATATTGATGAGGACGAGCAGAGTTTTGCAATAGTTGCTGAGATAGGACCGGATGTTCCCGAGAATATCAGCTGCTTCCAGACTGAAGTTGGATCAGATGTTTGCTTTGGGCGACGTGGAGCCACTGAAATCAGAATCACTGACAATGATCGTATGTTCATCTCTAATCGTCAATTGTCTTGTTATAAGCTTCTCTCTCTGTCTGCTAGCTATGATCATTGGGTTCACCCAACGCATTCGAACAGTATCGGAAGGTCAAGTTCCTGGAGTGGATCTGTTCCAGCTGCAGATTAATGTTGAGAGCGCGAGGACAGCTGAAAGAGAGCATCCAATGGAGTTCCGTCTCCAGGAAACCAGTACTAATGCTACTGTCGAGACACTGATACCATCTAGTGACGATTATGATGCTACATTTGGATTAAGGGCAAACCCTGATGATCCTCTTGAGGAAACCCGTGATCTGGACCCGGGAACACGTACAGTTGTACCATTGCTTACAGCCATCAGAAATGACTTGATTCCAGAGGACCTAGAATGCTACTCTGTACGCATAATCCCTGTCAATGTTCCTGGTCGTCGTGAGTTGTTTGAATGCAGTAAGGATTCTGCGATGGCAGCTAACTACTTCTGTGAGCACACAATCTGCATCTTGGATGAGCTATTTCAGGTTGCTTTTGTAAGAACAATGTACACTGTTGATGAGAGTGTGGGTCCCGTGTTGGTCTGTGTCAATCTCACTCGACCTGAATTTGACGTTCTCGATGAAACTGTCAATGTGTTTGTCACCGACTTCACAACGTCCATGTACATCCCAGTTGGTGACGTCCCTTTTGCAAGTGAGCCAACCAGCATAAATCAATGATCATTTGAATAAATATCACTTTCTTCCCCAGCCCCTGATATTCCTGACATTCTTGGTCGGTATCCAATGGCAGAGAGATCTGACTTTCAACAGCAGACTCCTGCCGTCAATTTAATAGACAATATCCTTATTAGTGAACTGATGAGAATAGTCTGCTACAACCAGACCATCTACGACGACCTACGTTTGGAGGCAAATGAATATGCAGGCCTTACGCTTGGAGTTGAGGATAATGCGCAAACAACAGTTCTTACTTTAGTAAAGGAATTGTTTGATCAAGCCTCCATTCTTATTGTGGACAATGACAGTGAGTTTACCGTAAGAGAGAATTTGTAACCACTGGTTTTGTTCTGCAGGGGCTGTGGTTGGCCTGGAGCAGACATTTTTCAGTGTGTCAGAAGATGTTGGTTATGTTGAGCTCTGTGCCAATGTTTCATTCCCAGAGATTACCTGTCCTATTGAATTCCCATTTGAAGTTGGGCTTTGGACTGCTGATGGAACTGCAGGTATATATATTAAAGGTAGACGCTCTATGGGATGGCACGGGTTAAAGGAAATGTGGCTCTATATAAGGTCTAAAGTTAGAAATGTTACTAAAGATGGAACAAGACAATAGGGGCACAGTGAAAGAATGCAAATGAGTTACGTTTTTATTACTGTAAATTTAGCCCCTATAATTATTATACTGCCACATTCCCTTATAATTATACGCAATGGGTGTCTATAACTTTGAGTCTCTGCGATCAGAATGGAAGCAAAGTGGGTATAGCTATAGGGATGGCTCAAAACATAAAAAATAAGAAACAAGGGGTCATTCACAGACACACAAAGCTACATGACACCCTATCTTTGTCTTGTTGATTTATACATAGGGTAGCTTTGTGTGTCTGTGAAATGACCCCTTGTTTCTTACTTTACATGTTTTGAGCTATCCCTCTATCCCCACTTCAATGATTTTTCCACTTAATTTACAGTTTGTTCTTGCTTTTTTAGCACTAATGGCAGTCAATGTCATGTTATTTCCACAGTGGAAACCATGGACTATGGAGTAATTAATGAGACTCTGATGTTTGATGCCTGCGAGACGAGGAAGTGTGTGAATGTCACCATAACAGATGACCTGGTAGACGAACAGAAGGAGTTGTTTACCTACACCCTGACAAGGACACCTTCTCTAGACCCCAGGATTGAGTTAGATCCTATTGATGGAACAGTTGAGATCATCGATAGTGATGGTGAGTAGCTAATCCTAATGAAAATGAATTCTAACTTTTTGACCACTGCCTGACAAGGGAAAGCACAAGCATTATTTTGTAGTGAGGTGGAATTGGGGAGGCAGGGTCACTCACAACTAATGTCTGCTGATGCCTGAAGAAGTATGAAGAGGCAGTAACTATACTGAGAGAGACATTATACATTAATACATACTTACTGAAAGAATGGAAGTGTTGTAGTAGAATTACCAGAACCTAGGCAACTATCATAATGTCCTCAAGAATGTATCCAGTAAAGAACAGTAGTATTTGGTTCTGTCTCGGACAGGTTTCCTTGTCTTATGTGGCACCATCCTTGCGCTAGATTTGTCTTTCTTGTCTCAACTCTTTCCTGACTCAGACAAATCTCTTCATCTGTGTTCACTTATTCTATAAGATTACATTAGTTCAGAGTCTACATCAAGTACAGATGCTACACTAACTGTCATACTCTTCCCCCCACCCACAGTAGTGGGGCTGGCAGTGACATCCTACACTATATCAGAGTCAGATGAAGTGGTTGAGGTGTGCATCAATGCAGTTGGTACCACTTCTTCGTGTCCCAGCACCGAATCTTTCCATGTCACTCTCTCCACTAGTGATCAAACTGCAGGTATAGCTACCAATACATAAAAGACCCTATAAGCCACCCATTGATAGTATTAACCTTCGGGGCGTGCATATGCAGCAAGAGTTGTGGCAGATCCAGGGGGGTTCCTTGGGTTCAGTGGAACCCCCCTTTTTATCATTTTGCACACATGCGTAGCCGGCCTCGTGACGTGCACAAGCACAGTGAAAAACGTTCTGGACAGCGGAACCCCCTTTCAAAATCCTAGATCCACCACTGGTTAGAGTACTTTCTCCACTAGTGATCAAACTGCAGAGAGCCTATGAACAACAAATTGATGGTAATTGTCAAATCATATAGGCAAATAACACAAGACAAAGATATAGGGATTGTGTCATATAGCTTTGTAGTCTTTTCTGTGTAATGACCCCTTGATTCTTCCTTTTTGGTGCTTCGAGCAATCCCTGTATTATACCCCTTCCAATGACTTTTCCACTTGCATGCATACTGGCTACCAGATCATCCAAAGTTTGT